AAAACTCGTCATTGCTCTCCCGGTGTTCCCACCAGACACGAGCAATGCTTCGGAGACATCGGCGGTCANGTTGTAAATAAAAATTGTTTAATTATCTCTGGTTAGCTCTTAACTCATCACATACTCAAACTTCGCATCTTAAAAAAAGAGGAATCTCTATGAAGATAGCATTCTGAAACCACGAATGTTGTAGCCCAGCATTTTCAGAGATGCTCAAGTGGGCGGTGATTACCCGGTGGTAAAGTCACCAAATTAGCCCCCCGAGGGACGTGTTTTCGAATCGCAACACCACTTTCCCCATTATGTGCTGCATCGCAGCGCTTTGATTGGCCGCTTCCCCTTTCCTGAGGAATTGTCATTTAATGCATTTAATAAAGGGAAGTAAAAATGAAAAACAAGTCACATTTCGTAATACACACCAGTATGATTCTCACAAAACAAATGAATAGTGTTCTTATCACTACCTGATCACACAACATGACAACCGACTCAGAATATGTATATACATGTTCTAGCTCAATCTGTAAAACATGAATCATTCACAATGACGATATGGCACGCATGCGCATACAGCCCCACCTGATTAATAAAAAACACGATGGACTTTCATGCAGTTACCAAATCCTTCTGCTCGTTCTATGGTCTATCATACAGACTGTCACAAAAACAAGCACGTGAACCTTAGCTTTGTCTGTGTGATATATCTTAGTAACCCTATTCATGGTCATCGCTGAATCCTCGACGAATTCTGGCTTTTTCCATCAATCGTTGAGCGACTGAAGACTCAGATCTATCATAAGGTCCCGATAATTTGAATTACTGTGTTTAGTCAGACTCTATAGGGCGAAACACAATGAATTTGAGGATAAAATAATACTACTGGATCGATTCGCTAGCTATCGTGTCGATTGTCCTGTTCCTTATTCCCGACGGGGTGGTGGCGTCATCACGTTTGTCAAAAATCAGTGGTGTCATCTGATCAAAAATGTTTTTCATTCCACCCGTTATATAAACGCATCAGCAATTCAATGTAAGCCCAAACATTTTAGCTTTTCTCGGTCACTTATTCTTGTAAATGTGTATATATAGCCCCCTCTTGCTCATCTCATGTTCTTAATGATTTTTATTATTCTCTTTCAGCTACACCGATTGAATATGTAGATACTTCAGTCTGTATCATTTGTAGTGATTTAAATAATTCCGATACCCGTTTCTTAACCACCTTAGGTTTTCAGAACATTGCTATCTTTCCCACTAGGCTTGACGCACATCTGGATTTGGGTTTTGTCAACCTTCCCAATTCTTGTAGAACCTCGTCCCCCACTAGGAATATCTAATCATTCTATGTTGAAGTTTTCCCCTACCATCCTTAGCAGAACGAACCATCGTCTCTTTACTCGAAGTCGTGATCACAAGCTTCAAGTAACACAGCGATCTCGAGAAAATCTCATGATGTTAAGGGAAACGATCAGACCTTATTTTTGTTTTCCGATCCCAGCCCTTTCCTTTTTCTGTAATCAATTAAAAAACTACTTAAACTTTTGTTACGATGTCTGTTGTGCCTTAGAGACAATTTATAATCTTCCCGATCGATTCTCTTCCTCACACCTCAACTCCGTCGTAGAAAGGAGCGTGCCTTCAAAATGCATAAGCGCGACGAGGTGCGCTCTCTTTCTAAATCCATCCGGGCTGAACTTCGAAGGCTAAACTATACATACACCTGTGCTCAGTTTGACAACAAGGGTAGTCGTGAGACCTGGTAAGCCCTCATGCGAATTTCCGGCATCAAATCCTCACACCGCTCACCTGCTGTGGTGGACATAGATGGTCTAAATCAGAGTTTCATCAACGGCGGTGGTCAACAATTTCTCCAACCGTCAGTAGTTCACACGCTACAAAGGTGGTACATCTTTACTGTTGCCCTCCTCATAAGGCGTACTACAAGGCGCTATTTTATCCCCTTATCTATTTCCTGTTTACATTTCCTCCATGCCTGTGAGTAATTTTTCTCTTTCCGTCAAGTATGCAGACGATATAATATTCGGACTGCCCTACCCCAACTCACCATTTCAAACGACTGTACAAGAAGACGTGTCTGAAATGGTTGAGTGGTCTCAACAAAGGAACCTTCGCACGAACCCCCCAAAAATGTAATGTAATTTTTTTTAAAAAGGGCAAAAGTATGATGAACTATCAAACACCAGCCCACCTTTATCTATCCTCAGTGACCAGATGGAACGACAACTGTCTGTCAAATACCTGCGCGTTATTTTCAGTCGTAACCTCACCTGGTCTGACCACGCTATTGACGTTTTTCTGAACGTCAGGAGGCTCACGTTCCATGTTGTACGTCTTAAAACACTTTCTATTCCAAACCATCTCATAAGGCGTTTTGTTTTTGCGTGAATTCTGCTTCACTGGCTTCATGGGTCCCCTGTTATCTTCCCAGGTCTTTTGAACAAGGACCTCAAACTTATCTACCAATCTCTCAAATTTCTGTCAGTTTGTAGTCTCATACCACGGGAACATCTGGTACATTATGTGGTGACACATCACATCAAGTCCTGTCAAACATTCTCAACAAGATTCTACCTGATATTTCCCATCCTCTTTATTCCGCCCTTAGTCAATACCTTTCTCACTCATCCACCCGTTCCACTCACAAACTTATAAATACACGCACTGAAGCTTAAAGGCGGTCTATTGTCCCAAATCTCGCCAGATTTCTAACAAACCATGAACACGTTGCAGGAAATCTGCGCCAAACGCTAAATTAAATTCATCATAAACACCCGGGTATGCCATTGGCTTTTGATGTTGCTGTCCTTTTTCACGTCCTTTAATTGCTGTATTGCTGTTTTTTACTTTTTGTTGACACACTATGGTTATGTGGTTCCTAAATATCCACCTCTCGAGGTATATAAAGCCATTCCTTGACTTGAACAAAAATGATAGAGGTGCGGTTGTATGACATTTTCAGGATGTGCCACATAAAAATCAATTTGCCTCGCGTGTAAGGGCGGAAGAGCGCCGATTTTCAACCACCTTGTCTAATCTGTCAAAGCTGAGCGTCTGATAGCATTAAGAAAACGGTTATGCACAAACACTTCTTGGTTAGCGAGGTTCAAACGGAATAGGCACGGCAATCACAAATAAAATAAATTAATCATGCAGAAAAATTTTAGAAAGTCAACTTACGACTTGATGAGTTATGGAAATGATCAAATTACAAAATTCGATAAACAATATAAAAGGAGAAGAAAGAATTGTTATACAGTGAAAGGTTATCCTGCCGATCCGTAGTTGCTGCTGCCACAAGCGAAAACCCAGTTGCACACTGGGTGTATTGCGAAGAGATGTAACATAACCCGTGCGGTTCACTCATCGGTAACCGGATTGAAGGCTACGCTTCCGTATGACCGATGGAATCCCAACTCGTCCCGGCTTGCACCCATCAAACACAAGTGTAGTTCGCGCAGAAGCAACGTGCCGAAATCCTCGTCGCGATATTTTTCCACAATCTTCGAATTGATTTTAAAACGATTATACTGCTTGCCGTTGAGCTGAGAGGAAAGAGGATTGAATGCAAGATGCCAGTATCTTTGTGCTGTGAACTATCGAGTAGGATACTGGAGAAAAAAACTAGAACGCTGAGGTGGAACTGGCGGCTAGTTGTGTGCCTAGATTTGGAGCTCTGTATTGATGTACAGCTTATCCGCACCGGTAATATACTCGCGCAGTGCACAGAATAACGAATATGTGTTGAGAAATGCACCATGACAATTGAATGATCGGTAAGCTGAATCAAGCATAAGTTTAACCAGTTTACTCTGTATTGTACTTATGAACGGCCATCACATGTTGGAAGCAGTCAGTCGTGCACAGAACAGAGAAGAACAAATTAAGCTGATAACCTAGGAAACGCCTAAAAGGTCTCCTACAAAACCCGGTGCTCTCTTACGGACAGAGAGCGGCGTATGCGAGCGTGGAGAAGTACAACGTACTCACTCACCTTCATAAGCGTGATGTGTGGTGTGAACCATAGCGCATTGTGGTTGGAAAAGCCAGATGCATGCAGCAATCTATTCAGATGGTTGACAAAACGTTGTAGCTCCGAGTTGGGTTGAAAACGGACATATAAAACCCGGCGATCAAAGGTGTTCACGCCAACAAGTTGAAGGGGCACTTGTGGAACCAGATGGGCCGCGGATGCACATGCTCTTTTCAGTGCTTCGAAATAGTTCTTCACCTGGAGGAAATCAGACCGATTACATGACAACTAAATATTTTAGTGCAAACTGTTTCGAGTGTACGCTCAGTATGATATGACAAAATTTACCCAAAAAGTTAGGCAAGTCTCTAAATAGCAAAACCTATCGGGCGATTTGTTGATCTACTGCTCTTTTATCTGACAAGACACACAGTTTATGAACCCGCTCTACATTACAGTCAATTGATGACTCCGAATAAACAACCTCATTGTTTTCGTTTTCCAAGTGTTCACTGGAACTATTCGCCCAATCTCTTAGTATGCGAATGGTTTCTGCAAAGGTAAACTCATCGTCATACCATGTGCATAGAGTCACAAACATTCAATATTTCCTCCATTTTTTCAACGTCTCAATAGGCTTGACGATGGCCGGAGAGGATAAATATAGTCCACAACTTTGTTTACACTGGGAATATCAAGTACCAAAACTGGCAGGGATGTAGGAAACAAAATCAAAGATCAAGATCAAGATCATGCATAGCTGGAATGAGGCTAGAATTCGAAAAATCCATGGCACCTGCGATGACGACATCATGCCCACCCTTTAGGGTGGCGGTGGGGGCCAAGTGGTTAGGTCACCAACTTGTGACCTGTGAATCCCGGATTCGAACCGCTCCATCGCCGCCCGTCTTCCCAGGCAGCCTTTGTATGGCCGCGGCCTCCCTTTTCGAATGCTAACTGTACGTTTGTATACTCAATAAATAAAAAAGGAAGTAAAACGACATTACATTAACCTGTCAAGCTACTCATTTCGCCATGCATTCATTCATCTATTTATTTATCTACCTTTCCGTCTTTGAATCTCTGTAGACACATAAATGATTATAGCTTGGGATACGGATACGGGCCACGAAACGTCGCAAAAAAGTTCCATCTAGGAAAACCCTCTAACACCAACACAGTTGTACAGTGTCACAGTGTCATTGCTGTTCCCGAGTTCGGTGGCAAAATTGTGTGGGTGATGACGAGGTCGGATTATCTTTTCAAGTCAAGTAAAGTAAAGTAAAGCTTTATGCACCCCATAGGATGAATTTTCAGCATTTTCGACATGTTACAGTAGGGGAAAATCGTTAAGTATTGGAAAAAGAAGATATATACATTTACTAAATGAAAAACAGACAGGTTTACGTAAAATCCTAATGTGAGAGATGATTGTTCAAGTCAGCAATACTATTTGCTCGATTGCTCAAGATGCGAGCAAAATAAGGGATCATGCTGTTTTTATGTGTGGTGGTGCGTGCATAAAGAATCCGAAATTGGAAACGGGTACTCGGATGAGAGACCGATTTATTGAGATGGGAGTGCAGGCAGTGTTCTTCGTTGGGCAGGATATGGCTGATAAATCGATCGCATGAGTCAAAATGCTTGCTCACAATAAAGTCAACCAAAACGGTCGTTGAAATGCCGCTGCAACGAGAAAGAAGTTTAAGAGATCTGGAAAAGAGAATAAAGTCTTTGCAGTATACACAAAGCGATAACAGTACATCACTTGTAATGTATTGAGCACGTATATACTACACCTGCCTGTCCACTGTCTTACGCACCGACCGCTGTTTGCAAGTTCTAGACATGGTTGGAGGACATTCAGTCTACAGTTTAACACAAGGGCTCACAGAAGTTAACAGCAGCATAAGCCTCGGTTGGATCTTCCCAACTAGGCCACTAGAATGTTGATGCCACTGGCTCCTAATGATGTGTCCTCAGGTTGAAATTGGTAGTATGAATGTTATAAACGTGCATTGTGAGTGCTTGTGTTTCTCTCCCTAACATACGGGCATGGTGAGTCAGCGTAGGAGAAATGGAGAAAAGGTGCGGAGTAAAACAGCAAGAGAAAAAAAAACCCTAAACTCCCATCCTAACTTTCGCACAATTCTGTTCTATTACGACCGGTGTTGGCCGTTTGGAGGTGAATATCTTTTGGAAAAAAGCAATTCACACTGATTTGAACTAGTTATGTGCCATTTGAACAGCAATTGTCCAAACCACATTAGACAGGTGTATAGCAGTGTAGACCGAAAAATCACTTGCCTCTTGCAAACTACTCAGAGAGGTCGTGCATATTGTCAGATGAAACATCTTTGGAGTGTACAGAAGTTGACGAAAGGCTTCGTTTTGTTCACAGAGTACTTCTTGTACCTGTAGAGCTTTCTCGTTGAAAGACGAAGATTTGACACGTTGGCACACGAAAAAGTTTGGGTGATTTGGTCTATGCCAAAAAACGTCAGACAAATCCTTCTGTTGGACTTCAGACGTAATGGAAAAAGACGACTTGGTTGTCACCGGATGAACGGATTTATTAGCACGTGAGACGGGCATTTCGTTGGATGTCTCCAAACCGGCATCAGACAACCGCTCATCAACTTGTTCATCGTCTGTAATGGGAAAATGCAATTCCGAAGTTGTGGTGTGACTGGATGTTTCCTCTTCGGAGACGGATGTTCGGGTTTTATCGACTAAGTCCTCCACGGTGGGTTCTGGAGTCCCGGCAGAGCACATCTTTTTAACCTCCTCAAAGGACTGATCCGTCAAATTGCTCCATACAATGTGTGATTCATATTTTAGCTGAACTATCTGCCAACCGGGGACAACAAAAGGACACCAGCCAAAATTCGCTTCAAAGTTCCACGAGAAGGAGCTAAGTGGGCGTTCCAGTAGTCCGGCAAAACTATCCAGATATACGACCTTGATGCGCTTTGACTTCATGCTCACGTCATTCAAAATACGTTTGATAATTTTCACTGCTCCGTTCATTGTACAATGTGGCCAACTAGGCGAACGATATGGTAAGTTGAATGAACGTATTGGGGTCCGTAGAATATTGCAACAATTGCCTCCAGGACGAATACACTTTGATGATTTCTTGATTTAAACCCTGAAATAAATAGATTAAATCGGTTTAAAAATGTGAAGAATAAGCTAATCTCTCCTGTCTACTAAAATCAAACGCTTCCAGAGATCAATGGGATGTTGGTAGTATTTACTAGGGGTAATATCTCTGAGTTGATATGTTATCGTGGCCTTGGGAAATCTCCACCTCACTGGCAGCCAATCCTTTGGATCTGTAAAGCGAAGGGACTACCACTTCTTCCGTAATAACGGAAGATCCACTACGAGCACAGCACTTCATATCTGGCGCACAACCGGGCACAGTTTTGCCTCAAGTCAGGCCATCAGCATAAAAGGCAGAATCCATACATAGCCATCATGTTCATGCTCATGCTTGTCTCACAAACGGTCAAGAAAATGTTTACACCTACAGGAATCACTAGCTCATCCACACATGATAACGACCCGAACATTCAAAGTCGACAAGAAACTTTCGCATCAGACTTCAGACGAACAAGTTTGTTGATGAAAAGCATATAGCTATCCACTCATTTATTATTATGATTTATACTGTTACATTTCACACGTGTCTGAGCGACGGCTGAGCAAACAAAAAACAGTGCAATCAAAGCTATAATAAAGAAACGGTTTCACGATTTTCTAGTGGGCTGTGTCGCAAATAGTGCCGTTCGTGCATGTTCTCAACTTCTTTGCAACATTAGCTCACTGAAATTCTCCGTTTTCTATTCGACTCCACTTTCAACTTTCCTTTCTTTCTCCTACTGTTCATCCAAATGGACAGTCAAAGATAGCAATCAAAACTGGCGCATTAAAGTGCATGGTTAATGATTGTTGAAGCTGAACTGAACTGGACTACTGCCAGGTCGCCTACGCCAAAACGGTACTTTTCTGAAGAATTAACACCGGGAGCCTTTGGCTATACAAAGCCTGATTCGCAAGGCAGAAGGACGGTATGTGAAAACCACAATCCACTGGGGGCTGGTATCCACTTCATCGGATCCTACACCCTTTGGATGGGGTCCAATGTCTCAAGTACTCAACACACCTCAATGCCCAGTGAAGCTGGTAATCAGTGGCAGAATCCACCACGACGAGACTGCACCTTGACGTGGTGTGCTGGCTTCTGTGTCTCCATAACCCTGCGAGTTATGCAGGATGGCTCCTCACAGCCGCAGATCCAATCATGCCTGAAAGGTCAATGGGTAGAGACAAGACAAAGATCAGTCTCACAAGGCCAACTGCTTGGGCACCTCCTGACTTCCTTCGTCTATCCACACCGTCCGTCGAAAGGTCACTCCAGCGAATAAACACGGTGAGGGGCAGTTTACCGGTCAAGAAACCTCGCTAGATGAACAAAGGAGCGGGGTATCTGGGGCTACCTCTCGACGGTGGGAGAGGTCTTCGCACTTCATTGGACAGCTACCACCCGCCCAAGCTGGGAAGCCCCCAGCCAATAAGATGCTGTCCCGTCCACGTTCCACTTATCTCATTGGGTGCATGAGACTAAGGGCCGATCCCGAAAAGCGGATCGATAATCAACGTACCAGCGAACAACAAACTTAACCGAAATCCGAAGACCTTGCGTGACAGGTCTCCAGATGCTCCCACACGGGTGCTTCGTTCACGTTCCCGCGTTGGATTTACACCCCACTGCCTTGTGGGTCAGACTTTTGAGTCGAACGCTCCGTTTGAGATTCCCAAAGAAAACCCCCTTCGTCAGTGCGGGCTACCGCGAAGTATGCCGTACCTTAAAGTCTTAGACACCCATTTGAAAAATCCTCCTTCCCATCTTTCTAGTTCTTCCTTTCAATCCCGAATATTCCCAGGTGCCTCCTGTTTACAAGACCTATCGGATATCACTCAGCGTTTTACCAACAAATCCAAACAATCAGAATTTACAGGATTTTTGAAGTCAAAATTCCCTTTTCACTTAGCCGCGTTCTATGTCCGCACACTCTATCAGTTCGGTCAACAAGCTGCTTTAGCTAGAATCCTTGAAACTTTCAATTTAGATGTATGCTGTGTCTCCAAAACACGCATACAAGACCCCACTTCCATTTCTCCCTGCATTTTCCTGATCCAACCCCAACCTCACGCTTCACCCTTCATGTGTCAGGCGATTCGGCATCCTCAGCTCGCGGTGTTGCTGGTGTCGGGATTGCGTTGAGTGACAGGGCTGGACGCTCGCTTTTTAACTGGATTTCAGTCAGGTGCCGACTGTGCACTGAACGTCTCAACGGTTCAGTGCGGGTCAACAGCTACAGAACGAAGCGTCGATGTCTATTCGTCGTGTCGGTGTATGCACCAACCGATCGCAGTACATCTGAAATCAAGGATGAATTCTACAAAGACCTTTCTCGATTACTCCAAAGCGTTCAGTTAACGGATATCGTGGTAATAGCTGGAGACTTCAATGCTCAAGTGGGATCCCTGGACGAATCAGATAGGCTTCTTGGTAAACCACATGCAATGCCAGCCAACCGAACGGACAACGGAGATCGTCTACTTCAACTCTGTACCGACCACGGATTGTTCCGGTCAAGCACGAACTTCTCGCACAAGAAACGACACCGCCTTACATGGAAACCGCCAACCTCTTCACAGCACTGAACCCATATCGACCAGACCGTCATCAGTTACCGCTGGAAGGGATCAATTCAAGACTGCCGCTCTTACTGGTCAGCACATGTGGATACGGATCACGCTTTGCTACGAACCAAATTCTCCTTACGCCTGGAAACCAACCGTAAAAAAGCCACCGACAACGGATACCCACGACACAGCGTCACCCATTGTTGCAAATCAGCCTTCGAAGCGGAACTCTCCGATCAAGTGTTAGTTCAACCACCAGCCGAAGGACTCAATGAAAACTGGAAGCAAATCAAGGAAGCTATGCAAATATCAATAAAAACTACGTCAAATCCTCACGCAGGCTCAAAGCAAAAACGATGGATTTCATTGACCTCGGCTGCCGTGCTGGACGCTCGCAGAACTCGTCCTGCCGATGCCGCATATGACAGCGCGCAAATCCCTCAAACACCAGCTCATCAAGAGTAATGACCGCGAGCAGTGGTGGATTCACGATCGAGGCCCAGTTCGAGGCCCCCATCGACATCTGAACTATCACCCTCCATGGCAACTGTGCAAATACAGCCAGTCGATGCCAGTCCTCCATCCGAAATGGAGGTTTCCCAGGAAATAAGTGATCTCAAACGGCATAAGGCTTCCGGCCCCAATGGGCTCTCATCATCCGTTTTTAAGAATGGAGGTTTAGCCTTAGTTTTAGAGTTAACAAAACCCCTGGGCTCATTGTGGGAGGGGTAACAAGTTCCAGCTGAATGGTGTGATTCGGTAATCATACCGATTGACAAGAAAGGCAACAGGTCCTCCTGTGAAAACCACAGAGGAATTAGTTTAATCAAAATTGTCTCTAAATTTCTCGCCAGCATCATACTCCGTCGATTGTCTGCCGCACGTGAAGAGTGCACGCGTGAGAACCAGGCTGGTTTTAGACCTGGCCGAGGTTGTATCGACCATATCTTCACTGTTCGCCAAACTCTGGAGCACCGACATTCTTTCGTAGACCGACCATCTCTATCTTCCTGGATCTTAAAGCG